ACTTAACTTTGTTTACTAGCGGCTTCAATTATTTAACTACAGCTCCAAATTGTCATGTGTCTTCTACCTTTTTATACGGAAACATAAGCGCAAGAATCCATTATGTTTGTCATAATCTCTATCTATGCTCTCTATGTCCAAAATCATCAAAATAGATCTTATAACACACACTAAATTCATTGAAAGTAACGCTTAAATAAAAATGTCAACTACACAAATAAACGTACAATTCATCTAATTTCAAAATAAATTAATTGCTCTTAGACTATAAAACCGGAGCTCTAGTAATCATCCAGTCGGTTGAACGCTAATGGTAATAGTTGAATAGAAAGCTCATTACTGTTGAATTAGAGTCTCTATTAGAACGGCACTATTTAATGTAGGATTATTCTTAATGTTCTCAGCGTGTAATATTATCACACTATGGAACAATTGCCAAAAATTGTAGCCATACTGCTTTAACGAATTTCTCCAAAGGAAGACGATTTATATATGTTTCACTTTTGATTTCATGGTTCTAGCCTACATAATATGAAATAGAAGAAAAGTAATAAATGCTATGGGATCACACAGATTTTACACGTACCAAAAATGTATTGATCGCATATCTCAACGTAATACAAAACCAAATGAAAATAGTATCCATTCACCCGAAGGTAATATCCGACCGATTCCATTCATTCGAAAGTGACACCTCAATCATTCTGGCTGAACACTCACAAAAATGCAGATCGTATATCGCCGAAACATTCCTCGAAACTACTCGTATCACGACATATTCCAACGAACCTCAACAACTTCGTGACAGCATCGAGTTATTCAATCGAATCGATTAGAAAAAACAAAACAATGGCATCGTGCGAATCGTCTACAAGTCTACATGTTATGTGTATTACGTGAGCGAAGCCCGCATGGCAACCGCCATTGTTCGAGATAATCGATACTGTAACGTCCCGATCAATCGAGATATTAACGGGATTAGGGCAGAAGGTTCGGTCGTATCCATAAAGTGTGCGTCGCAAAAAATAATGAAAAGAAGATGGGTAGTAATAACTCGTATGTGTATGACAAGCCTGCCATTCCTTTATTAGTCTCCAAAGTTATTGTCCACCAGGTTCTGTATTAAATTCTCAAATAGGTTAAAGAATTATCAGATTTTTGGTAAGTTTCTTCATGCTGCCTGTGTTTATGTTACAAAACTTCATACGATCGAAGATTAGACGTACTATTCCATTAACGGCACTAGCTATATGACATGTGTAGGAGATTACGTCAGTTTTGCACTTAAGTCTACCATCGACATTACTTGACATTATCACCTATGTTAAAGAAATATTATCATAAACTGTAGTAGTAAAAAAAAACATGTCTAAGAACCTTCTTTGTACCTTTAAGAAGAATATATTTAACTTCTGCAATTACCTCTCTGACGCATTACACAATTAAGCGAGTACATTACCCGAGCGTTTGGCCGAGTCAGCATCGATTGCGTGCGCCAATTAAACTTCACTATAATCAGGCAATAATGAGCTCCGTGTTTATAACCTGTGGGAGATCAGACGGGTTACTTTGCTGTGCACCGTGTAATCATAAATTATTAGATATTAACTTGGACATGAGCAAACGTATGATGCAGCGAAAGAATTCTGATTCCCGTGAGAGCGTGTGATAGGATACCGGGGTTATTTTAATCAGAAAGAGTACGGTTGACGAGCGAAATAGTATGGTTGAATAAGTGAATCCTATTCAATTTTGCTCAACATAAAATTGATCATTGATAAACAATCTTGTTGGTAGTCTTCAAGTTCTGCAGGCTGCCTTGTCTTCAACCTTCAAGCAGACATAAACATTCATAATATTCCATCCATATAATTTTCCATTCCATTAACAATAAAACGAAGCTATCTCTAGAATATTCTAGAATTAATTCAAGTTTTCTTAGCGTGGGTATTATTCAGTACAGAAATCTCGAAACTACTTCACTTCGACCGCAACTCTCCACCCACGTAACTTCTCTCCGCAAATGTATTTTACCGTTCACAGCATCCTTTTAAGATACTGCTATTGATTTCAGATCGAATATAAAACAGTTCTTTTGTTCATTTTTCTCGTTTACTGTAGAGATCGCGGAGGAATAATGGAGTGTGGGTAGATTTATTAATGGAACATTTTCTGCTGTAACTTAGTTGGGATAGTGAATGAGTTTGGTTAGTTTTTACTAAAAAAAATGTGATAGTTGTCATAGTCAATGTCTCAATGAACAATAAGGTAATAGATATAACACAGAAATGAGAAATTGCAAATAGGGCCAAAAAGTTCATAACACAAGATTTTAGCGGTACAGCCAATGGGGCTCACATTTTTTTGCACACCGTGTAGCGCAAATGTAGGACGCGGGGTTGTTCTGTCCAATCACAGCAGCTGTCAAATATTGAACGTCCAATGGTGTAACATTAGCTAATTTCCTATTGGACGAAGAACGAGAGTTTCACACTAGCGCCATCTGCTAATCAAAAATACGGTTGACCCTATTAGATCCACCTGTTTTGTGTAGGCGTAGGTACCTAAGTAACAGCTACTCATTTAGCCATTATTCTTAATCATTCCCTTAACATGCTTAGGATAAAGCTGCCATATGTTACAGTGCGATACAGGGAATATAAATGGTACTCATTTTACTTGATAAAGGACCTGCTTCAACCGCCGACACAAATTATGAAAATGTTTTTGCTACGTCTTTCTGGCTGATGTGGCTTAAGCATGATTGTCAGCAAAAAAATATACGTTGGCATGCACGAGGAAAACGTTTCATTTGTTTTTGAGAGCCTTTTGGATAACCTGCTTGGTTGATGATGAAATTATTCCCTTTTATGTATGTACTTTGTTCTCTCTTTCATTAGTAATTAGTCTTGTATTGTAAAGTGACATTAGTTTGTTTTCAGTATTGTATTTTATCTAAGTTGTACTTCTTGTTTGTGTTTTTGTAGCTATCTAAAAGCTTTGATATAATACCAAATTCTTACCAACATGTGTACCAAAATACTCGATTCGCTGTCGTATCATTGAACGACACACTTATTTCTTTTGACAAAAAAAAAGCACAATAGTGTTCTCTTTACAAAGGACGTGTACCTGGTAGATTTAAAAGTAACAAAGGTATATATTGTAAGGGACTACATTTTCCTTTTGAAGTGAACGCTTGCCACCACTCAGCCGAAATCGATCCTTCTGGAAAATTTTGCTTTTCCGACAAACTTGTAACAAACTAAGGAGATTACAAGATTTTGTCCAATACACTTCAGGACATAAGTACGGATAAGATCATGAGATCCTAAGACTTTAAAATGCGAATAGATGGTTTACTCTTGTCTGATATTCTCCGGTGAATTTCTCGTGATCGAATCCACATCGTTTGCGGGGTTTCAAAGGGAAAACGAACTGAAATAAATAATTACTATATTCAACAAAAACCCAAAGATTTTATCTCCTCTTTTTTCTAAAACATTACTCACATACATGACCTACATATTTCCATATTTTCGGTATACATATCACCTTATATAGTACATATCACGGTCTCTCCCAATACTGTGAGCTTTAAATTCCATTAGATGCGTGTTTGAGTGTATTTCCATAAATTCGCTGAAGCCCGATATTCATGAGGGTGTCGCGTAATGTTCCTCAAATGACAGCTGGTGTCAACATTACATTATGGTGTAGTTCTCTCCATATTGTTATCAAAGGTAATTGATTGGTAGCGGGGAGCTTTACGTACCTCTTGTTTGTTGGATCCATTCAAGAAATCATGTGATGATTTCTGTTCTACTGATGAAAACGACAATCTTTTACGACCAAAAGTCGATAATATCTTTAAAGTAAACATTATACTTAGCTTCTTTTAATATGGCTTTAATCTATCCGTAGATAAGATACGGAGCTACATCTTATACCATATTTTATAGCACTTTTAACATACGTCTTTGTCTAAACCACACGCAAAATCCAACACAATATATCTCAGAAATAAAAACCATATAACATCACCATTCATAACGCAAAAACTCTTGAAACGGGACCATTATTTATCTCCAAACGAGTACTCGTAAAAACCGTGAGTCCTGACGCGTATATACTTATATGTTGTACATTCCCATAAAGATTGTCGGTTTGGTAAACTAAGGCACGTGTCTGAACGTGACCCGGAGGAACCTACACTTCATAGGGAGGCACAGGAGGGACTGGAATATGTAAAAAGTAACTGCCTTCCTCAATAACGTAAAGAAAATATTTTAAATTTGTGGCTGTTTTGAATTAGATTGCAACAATTCGAATGCTCTTGTTTTGTTGGTGGGTGCTATTATTTTTAATGGTATTCTATCGCATTTCTGTCTTGAACAGTATCTGTTGATCAAGATACAAAGAAATAAAAGTAAGTAAAATTGGACCGGTTTTTATGATCCACGTCCCTCTCGCCTCACCCAAGGCGAAAGAATTCATTGAGTGATTTTCCCCCCATAGGCTTTAACTTACCGATTGTGTTGTACTTAATATGGGTGACAAATTAGATAGATTGTCAGTCAAAGTCAGACAAACATCATAGTCGTCATACAGCGTTTATGTTATTTGGCCGAAAAGACTCATTTTACTAAGCCAACACGTCCTTAATATATTACTTCGGCAACTGGCCCGGTCACTGTTCCCTCGGCTCTAATTAATAACTTTAGAATTACTTGGGATCCCTTTCGTTCTGTTTGAGCACGATACAAATTACAACTGACAGACCTCGGTTAATCTTCTACTAAATTTCCTTTCCTACATAGGTTACCGTCTGTCGGTTTGTATAATTGTTTGGACATTTCTCCTCTTGATTGTATATTATTCTTCTGTTCTAAGCTAGTTGATGTGTATTTAATATGTAGTGCCTTCTGAAACTCATCTCTTTGTAGGTTTTACTATGGATCAATCAATGAAAACCCAGTCATTACAATTCATAACTCTTTATTCAGTATCATAATTCATTAAATGAAATAAATTTCCTATAACAAAATATGTTTTTATATCGATAAAAACGGCAATACACTAATGCCGGTACCAAACCTGACAGACTCTCATACGCTTTACTTTTTTCTGCAGTAAAAGCGTGGCATACAGGAGGGCTTCAGCCGTCGGTGGACAGCCTGGCACGTATATATCGACCTGGAAATTCATTAAAGTTGTTTAACAATCTATTTTATCACAAAAATTGTTATTATATTATATTGTTTGTATTACATCATCATTTACTTCTTCTGGCTCAGGGATAGTTTATAAACTTCCAACTTAATCATTCATTACACAGAAAAGTAATAAACTACCCACCGGTATAATTCTATCTGCTCCGCGGCAAGTGGAATATGTGTAATAGTAATAGCCACCCCCATTGGCACAAGTACCCATTGACACTACCCACTTAGGATCCGGCATCAAATCGTACGTTTTACGTAAAATGGGAGCCATCTTGTTAGTGACAGTACCAGCGATGATAACCACGTCTGTCTGCCGTGGTGTGCCCCGGAACACCATACCGAAACGATCCATGTCGTATCTGAGGAAAATTGTTTAATTATTTTTGGTACAATGTCTAAATGCCTACTGATAATTTGTCATTATTATATGACGATGATAAATGTGCGATAAATTGCATAAATTCTGTGGCATTCCATTAAAAAAAGATTCGCTGTAAACACATCTTATTGACTTTGCCGTACAATGATATTTGATGGGAAATGTCATGTCTCAACCTTTAGGGGTCAAGTCGTGGATATTGAGAACATAGCCTCGTACAGAACAATGGCAGTCAGCGCGAACTCGTGACGGGAACCCCTGAACCTCCAACTCCTCAGAATTTAATGGCGCGGAAAAGTTTACAAAGCACTTGAATTATAAAGCTGTCCCTTTAATTTATTATGGAGGGAATGGCCGCTTTTCCTTTTCTTAGTTCTGATTGCAAAGTATCTTTTGTGTAAACAAAGAAATGTAAATGTTTTGTAACTACAGTACTAGGCGCTATTTTATTTGTCTTGAAATAAAAGCCATTTCGCCTAATGGAAAGTGATCCCTGAAATTTTCCTAAGTTCTACTTGAATAAGCTTCTAAGATTGCTATTATACGTTTCACTATTAATTTAAAGTGAAGTAGGACAAAACTGAGCATGTATTTGTTAATGTTTTGTTTTGAATAGTACTTTAATTATGGAACAAGTAAGTTCACGTAACTAGGCCGGTAACCGTGCCGTCATACCTTGGCCGTCTCAATGAACCGATCGTATATCTGTTGTGCGGTTTTATATCAGAGGTCTATAATTGTATAGTTATACCGATCTGTCGATGACACATTTTATAACTGTTGACTTTCTTCCATTATAAAAACAAAAATATTGTATATAAGAAATTATTACCTGGGTCCAGCATAGTGCATCATCTCCAGCGCACAGCATGCGAGCCCAAAAGTTATCGGCCATAAAGAATTCCTGCGCCCCCAGTTGAGGATGTCATCTGCCCGGGCTATAACCCATTCGAGCTTAGACTAGAATAATACGATTATTTGTTAAATATTTCAAACTAGATAGACTAGACTATGGATCAATTGGTTTGGCCGTAATGTCTAAGTTTTTTGAAAAAGTCCTTTGAAAAGAAGAGAAAATGTTACTCGTTTAGAGAGAAGATCTGACGACAGATTTAACCTAGAATAAATTTTTTGGAAGATGGTAAAAATAATATAATAATACTTATATCTAAGATTATTTAATGATGTAACTAAATCTTATATCATATACTATTTGTTTTTTTATGTTTGTTTGAACGCGCTAATCTCCGTAACTACCTACAAGGTACAAGTTTGATTTGAATATTTTTTTTGTGTTGGATAGCGCATTTATCGAGGATGGCTATAGGCTATAAAACATTATGTTCCAAAAGGAGTTGAGCAGAGCTTGTGAAACCGCGAGGAAGTAGCTAGTATTTAATAAAACGTATATATCCAAAAGAACCTACTGTCAACAACCTATTTGATTAAAATAAAAATTGCACTGCACTCGTGAGGCTTACAAAATGTGCTGAAAATAAATAATTATCACAAATGTTGCACATCGCAATCACTGATGCAATTTATTTTTGGCATCAGAATTATTGGAATAACTTATCAACGAATATCATTATGAATATTGATGAAAATTGCGTTCAGAAAATTGTATTAAAAACTCGATTAATATTTTAAATTAAATTCAGATTTTACACATTTACGATGAAAATGAAAACCGAGTCGTAACTGGATTATAATGTTAATTATGTATTCAATGTTTCATGCATTTTACCTTTACACTAGAGATGTATGTATTGTATATAGGTAAGCTTTTATATAATAACAGTTTCTATATTTAGCCCCGGTTTCACCACCTCTATTTAAGTACCTGATAAACTTATGTGACGGATATTTCATATAAATTACGTTCTTAATTCGAATTTATCTGGTAGATAGCGGCTCTCCAGATATTGTGAAACAGGCCCTAAATCTTCTTTCCTTATATATATTTCTCTGAACCTATCATTGTTCTTTTGATTTTCCTCATAATGACACTTGAATGAACACGCTTTGTATTATTTTATTTAGAAAAATGAATATCTTCTTCCAATAAATATAAGTTTCGTACATACTCTAAAGTAGATAATACAACATTTACTACAGATATATTCAATTGATATAAAACCTCGTGGACTAAGAAAGAATGTGACCGAATGTCTATATGTGACTCACCTAATAAATATCTGAGCCATTCTGTCTTTGGAATATTGAGTGTGTCACTACTATAGAAGCAGTATGATTATACTGGATGATAAGCTAATTTTAGCTAGCTGCCTAAATGAACACAGTTTTTATCTCGAATGACCAAAGAAATGGTAAATGTTGGTCCAACTTTATAACCGCACCAGATCATTCACCAACATTTGCCCAAGATGTTTATTAATGTATGGAATCCTAATGATGAGTAATCTGCAATGAATTACAAGCGCACTGACGTAAGGGATTCCTCAGCGATTTGTAACAGCCTTTCTATAGAAATTCTTACTACAAACAATTTTATCAAATGCCACTGAGCAGACAAAGGACTAACTTTAATAGGACCATAATTTAAACGGAACAAAGTTCAAATTACATAACTTTCTATGCGACATTAAAATTGCTTTTCCCAAATAACTGGGTTTCCGTTACACGTGTAAATTTAATACGAACGCCATGCGCATAGAAATCCAAACACGAATTAGTTTCATTAATAGCAAGTCAGTTTCATTAGTTAATTGCTTCAGTATACCAATCAAATTGAATACAACTGGTTAATGAAAACCTGAAAACCAACAAGTTTGATCCAATCCAACCTACTCTTTCTTACTCTTTCTTAATACATGCTTTATCACTTTGTAATATAGTTGAAAACCTACTTAATAGATTAGTGTATGTTGATATACTGGCGTGTGAACTTGCTGTAGACATATGAGACCAACAAGGGCATGATCTACCTCTGTCTGTACTTATAGAGTTTCCACTAATGAGGACTATTACGCTTCAACTCACAGTTGAGGGTGCTGGTTACGAATAAAGTCCTCCAAATTGGTAATCTATCTGAATTATATCATTTAAAATTAGGTATTCAAATTTGATAGGACCAAGATCGATAGTGGCGCCACCAAAAGTGCACTTAAGCTTAAAATTCTAATAGATTTTGAAATAATAAAATTATTATTTAATTTTAGTAAACAACAAAGCAAGTAGATGTCGATTGCTTCCTTTGACGGATTACAAAGTCAATCATTCCTTTATCGTTAGACCTCTATATTCAGTTACATAGTTATTTCACTACAAATACCTCAGTGTTGCAATCTGAAGATCTGATAAGGGATTCAGACTTCGGTTAGCGGATGTACGGATAGCTTCCAATCGTGTGCTGTAATTGGAACGTCCCAAGTTTGTAGGGTTGTCAGGACAACGGAATCTTGAACGAATTTGTTTAAAGACATGTGTTTTTTTAAGTTCAACTGTATTTGATAAAATTTTTACTAAATGGCTGGATTTTTGTCAAAACGAAAACGGAGTTGATAAAAGTGCTTCAACAATACTTCTTCCTTCCTTTACTATTTTCTTACTCTGTGTAGTTCTGAATCAGTTGTGTTCTCTTGTTTGCACTCACGTTTTTGTTAAAGGGTGTAGTTAAGTTCTAGTACAAAATACAACAGATGGGTGTCAGCCCTAACCATCCCAATACCTGTTTACAACACACTATAACCCCACTATCGGACGTGTGTGATCCAGAAACGTATTACGTACCGGATTCGAGTTTCGTTCGTTTAATTTCACTCTTAGTCCGACTGTCCGGCTCTGTTAATCCGGGATTACTGTCGTTTCGTGCCGGATCTAATTCTTATACGATACACTTGCGTGTTTCTTGTCTGTTTTAGACGTACAGATTATTTATCTTTGTTGCAAAAGGTGTGTGTGTGTGTGTGAATTTGTTATATGAACTGTCAGTTTCAATGTTTTTCCTTAGGTAGGATCTGTAGGTGTATGTTTATTCCAAATATAACTACAATTACCAATAATGTGTTGAAAATAATTAGGCGATTCAATTGTAGCGTTAGTATGACGTAAGTTTAGATAATACCAAAGGCTTGCTATAAATTGTAAATAGCTTGCTTTAGGGAATACACCTGACGTTGTTTAAAGTTAATGTAATAAATAATACAACATGTAGTTGTGTATTTTGCATTTACGAGTTTATTTCATCCTGGTTTCCAAGAAATTCCTTTGTTACCTACATGCTGTAATTTGTTAAAGCCATTAATAGATCGAAAGCAGGAAGTATGGTGCTGATTTTAGTATTATGAAGTACCAAGAGTATATTTATTACCAACGAATCTATTGTTATCATAAACTCAACCAGATGCAATTTGTATATTGATAGAATCTGTTTGCTTTATTATATCTTGAAGTCTACTAAGGAATAGATAGAAATAAATTAGCCCGTAAACTATCCCAATGCTGGGTGTAGCCCTTTTCTCACCATAGTTTGGCAAAGAGATGTGCATGTTTGATTATGTTTATTCTAGATGAATGAATAAACGAAAATATTAACATTCCCTTTTAAAAAAAGCATGGTGCTATCGTCACCATAATGTATTATCTCCAGTGAACCTTTAAAATTCGTTGCCTATTCCGGCAGGCTCGTAAATCATCTGTGTCGTGCCATAACTCGCACATGATATATTAAATATATTATATTTGATACACGGCATCTTGAATATTTGCTACCTAGTTGTAGTTGGTCGTGTATCGTACCATATACTGTAGTTATCTGCCACAAGATGTCAGAGTGTAAATCTATCTAGTTATCTATCTATATAATGTCAATTGCACTGTGTACTCTGTACATAAAGTTCAATTTTGTTATACTAAGTTCACTCTTCGAACGTAACCTGTCTAAAACATGTGGAGCCTAGCAAACTTTCATAGTATCCGAATCGTGTGTAGATACGATTTAAACTGAAACCTCCGTTTAAAGTTCCCAAAACCAGTCTTCGAAACAAAATGAAAACGTAGCGCAGGATCTGCATCATATTCGAAAAGTTTCCCATTTCCCGCTTTTATATTTTCAATTCTGAATGTAAATTTTATGTCGGTAAAGCGCTGCCGCCCTAGTTCGGTGGGAATATAAAATTAAACGCGAGTTTCCGAGAGACGGACGCGCAAATTTATTTCAACACAGATTTTTGAATAAAAGCATCATGTAATACGAAAATGTTTGAGCACACTTAAAATTGTTTGCCTGCTGATGAAAGCGGATATCCTGGCGACGAAGGTTCATAAACATAGTTTTAGCAAAATATTTTATTTAAACTCAAGCTTCATACAGTGGACACTCATGGTCAGGTCAGTACATTATTTGTTTTATCAAAGCAACGCCGAATATGTCTAAATCGTTTACCTGACCAGGGAAATGGAAGGGGGAGTATCTCCTGACTTCTTCCAGCTTGTAGGCTTTGCCCACGTGTGGGAATATTGGAGGGATCTTCCTGGTCTCGCTCTGGTTGGCTGGTTGCACTGATTTGTCACATTTCTTCTTGTCAGGTACATTGAAACGAAACGTGCGTGTTAGGTCATATCTCCATATGTAATCTGTAGTTGGGACCGCAACACTCTTGACAATTCTCGTTTCACGTCTGTGGACAAAAAAAGTATAGTCTTAGCAACAATAAAAACAAGGGCAATCTTTGTTTTTTGTAGACTATACCTAAAGTTATTAAAATACACGACTGACACACAATACAAGATGACATCATAATAGAATTCAAGATCAGTATCCAGCTGTAACGTTCTCAATAAGGAATTTGTATAGGACTATATACTTTTATAGTAATATGGGTTTTATGTACAGATGCAGCATATCAAGCTATCTATATCTGTCAATAGATTATAAACTTTACATTTTTCGCAATAAGGTAGCAAATGTATTAAAGAATTTCGAGATATTAGCATGTGAACGTGATACATAAGACCCTGACTTCTGTGACCCTGGTACACTTGGTACCGTTACTAGAACTAGTCGTACATCTGATGCATTTTATTAGTGCCGTTGATATTATATGTGTCCTTTCTAATAGTTGTTTTAATGAAATGTCTAGTTAGTTATGACTAAAGTATATTGAGGAAATGTATAAATATAATGTGTGTAATCGTAAATTATTGACTGCACGGTTGGTGCGGTGACTGGGCAATCGGCTGCCACGCAACGTGCAGCGGGTTCGATTCCCGCACGGAGCAACTTTTTGTGTGATTCACAAATTGTTGTTTCGGGTCTGGGTGTGATGTGTATGTGAACTTGTACGTTTGTAAACGTACCCACGACACAGGAGACAATCTTAGGGTTCCACATTAAAAAAAAAAGGGTTAATGCTTTTATATTCCAGAGGATACTAGAATCTAGTCTTCTCTGGTAGACTAGTTGATGTAAGAATTTAATGTACTTGGCGTATAATGCTCGTAACGAACTTCTCAACAAAGTTCGTCTCACTATTTTGTACACAGAATTAATACGTAACTCCTTAATTGGAGTCTAGTGCAACAAGTTTGCAGTTTGCATACAAGTTTATCGTACCTTAGGGCGATCTTAAGAACAGATTTTCTTAATAGAGGAGAAACTAGTGGAATTAAATACATATTTCTGAAGTTAATACTGAATTTTAGACATAATTTCAAATTATAAGGCGTAATCTGGTTTCGGTGTTTGAAAGTGAAATTTTATTGTCGTAAAGCAGTTTTTGGTTTTTGTTTTATATATTTTTTTTATTTATGTATTTGATGGGCCGACGTTTGACCACTATCTCGCCTTGGTTAGCCATGATGCGGTCTACGATGGAGCACGTCGTCCCATAAGCAACCCATTCACTCGGGCCTTGAAGACACCCCTAAACCCTTCAAGAAATACAATACAATACTCCTAATTAAACAAAGGCGTGAGTAAAGTATGAGTTTGTTTTTTCTTTACGTGTTTGTAAGTTTTTTCTTTACGTGTCCAAACGCTCACCAACCATTCATTTATTATGCACTTCTCTGTTTGTCCACCATTCACTCTTAAATATGTAATAAAGTATAATGAAAACAAACAGCCGAATGCTCAAACAAACATAACGTTGATTATACGTATCAGTAGCTAATGTTATCACACACGAGCTCGCAACAACACCTTAATTGTATCATGTTTGTATCTCAGACCGTGGGTAATTAGTTTGGCTTCCAATTGCCTCCCGTATCAAACTACTTGTTTCACCCGGTGACGCGTGCCAAATGTACCGACTAATTGTAGTAACGTATCGTGTAATTCATGGGGAAATTATTGTTTCATTGTAACTGTGTTATTAGTGAAATAATCATGTCAACATGATTGTTTTGAAACGTTGGGTGTAGCGAATTTAGTTGTAAAGGGTTAGGTTTTAGAGTATGTTTTTGATTGTAACGTTATTTAGCTGGATATGGACGTAGATTCTTGTATGATTTTAATTCGTGCTAGAATTATCCGCAAGTGTCGTGGTGTGTGTGACCTAAGGTTGGTTGCCCAATAGTGAAATTTGCTAGTATTAAACCAATCGACAATAAAAATAAGACCCTGTGATAGGACAAATAGAATCTCAAGCAACATTACTGTCATCTTGTGAGTATAAAACTAATCCTTAATGCGTAGTGTTGCTACAGAAAATTCAACTTTAAGCACTATAAATATTTTGTCTACCAAGATATTTTAATGGAAAATGCTTCATGGAAGATGCACGTTAAGCTCAAAATAGGAAGTTGTGTTTAGGGAGCAAATATTCCCTGAACTTATATTAGCTTCGCAGGTTATTTTCAGTGAAATATCCTCGTTATTTAAACACGTTCGTTGGGTAGTGTTTGCTTGCACTATCAAAGTGTACTGCCCTCAAGAGACGAGCAGTTTTCTTACAAATTTGAACTATTTACGAAACTCAATATTATGGGCAAATATTGTTCTGTCGGTTGGGATTGAAACCTTTTTGTTATTAATTAATGAAGTAGCCTTTGTTGTGTTGTAGTTGATTAGATACACATGTACTTAGGTATATTTTTGTAAGGGGAATAAATCATTCAATGACTTATTTGGGTGCGGAGAGAGAGTGTCAGGCTCATACTGACTAAAAACCACATCGTTTTTACTCCTGCACTTCCAGCCGGAACCCCGGTAACCTGTTAAGTTCTCCGCGGCTCCGAATCGGCATCAGCCCTATTGGCCTTCATCTATGATGTACTTTAGCATAGATTGATATTGTATTATGAATGGTAAATTCAAAATTGTGGTACTATATATATGTATATGTATGTGTGGTATAGAAAGGAGACACATCAAGAATATATTATCAAGTTCTTTAATAATAAGGAACCAGTACATGGTCCAAATTGAGATTGTAAGAGGGATTGCCTTTTACTAATAATAAATCATTTTTCCTATTCTGAATGATAACAGTTGATTCTGATGAACTTTATATTACGTATTTTATAACAAATTTGCTTCAAAATCACCTGCAAAATTGCACTAAACTGCTCATTAAATAGTGTCTCTTTATACTTTAACTTGTATAGTGCCAGTTATTGTGTACATTGTGAATCCTTGGCACTGGTTGTGGTTGTTAGTTGGTGGAACGTGACTGGGGGCGCAAACTTCCATCGCATTCATACTCTGACGGATCGCATTCGATTAAATTGCGCATAGTTGGCGCTTGCAACGAATATTTGGACCACAGAATTGTGTGACTGAATTGATATGGTTAGGGTTTTTTTTGTGAAAGTTACTAATTTTAGAGTTGTAGGCTCGAGGCTACACTGGCTACATGTGTTAACATGGGACACATCTATCGTTTGTATACCGATTATTTTTACGCCTTATTCTTGCATAATTACTCTTACATTAAATAGGTACAGCTTCTTTCAATAGTTACCTGCACAGAGTATCCCTAATAACTCCAGTAGAAGCACGGAACATAATTCCGTTGGTAACAAAATAATATTATTTTACAAATTATTTCAAAAACCGTCCGGGCGACTGGCTACATGCGTTTGACAAGTTGACAGGTGAAACATTGACAGGTGAATGTTCGTTCTGAATTCGAAACTTGTGAATATTGAAAAGGTTTTATATGTTTGATTGAATTTTTATTTTGTATTAAAGGATAGGATTTATTTAGTTTTTTAATGTATAAAATGGACCTATTATAAACTATCTGCTACTGTTTTTGTGGTTCTAAAGAACATAAGCCTTTACTAAACGAAACAATAAACCAAAATTATCAACAAAACAATCTCAAGTAACCTAATATTCCTTAATCTACGTTACAATTTAAACCTTATTGCTTGAAAGCACGACAGACTTTACCTCTCTATTAGTATTAGCACGATAGGCCAGTGTCGTTGACCTAGTGCTGGGTCTACATAGATTGCAGTTGATGCAATTATGGTGGTGGTATACTGAGGGGGTTTTTCGATGACGTGGACAGGCCTAATGACTTCCTTCACCAATTGGGTAATAGTTCGTCTTGTTTGAGAGAGGATGGGAGTAACGAACGCTGATTGGTTGATGATTTTTGTTGAGTTCGTTGGGTTGGCTATTATGCTGCATTTGTTTGGGATTGGATGGCATATTACCTTATCATAAATGATCTATACCGCTCGTAGAGACCCGGAACACCAGAGAACTTGAGTATGTTGTCGACACGACAACATTCTTAAATTATATTCGGCACGAGTTTGTCTATTTACAGATTATTGTTGGTATCTCAAACGAACACGAAAGATTTCACGTAAAAATGAAAATGAAAATTTCATTTAGCAAAGCGGAATTCCGATCTCATTTCCGTCCGTCGTATGTAAATGAAAAAACTTTCCATATTACATATTCCTTGTATGTCAAATGATCATAAAACGTCGCTTCTGGATAAAGACGCGTGTTCCTAATATGTTTATAAAAAATACTCCCTTTGTATCTTGGTAAGGTTTCAGGAATATTCAGTGTTTATTAGGTCCTCGTTGATCGCTTTCTTCCATATTTCAAGAAGTAGGTAATTTATAGGCCACTGTAAATTACTCCATCCTTAACATCACGCCTTTTATTCCTGAAAGGGTAGGTAGAGGTGCACATTATGGCACTTAATGGCACTGTATAATGTATCACACAGTTTTCACTATTTATGTTATGAGTCCCATGTAATAGAGGATGAGCTTATTGCCATAAACCGGGAACAATTGCAGACTCCGTGCTACTACTGAGAAATAAAAAAAAGCCTATTAATACTTTGCCCGACGTGTGAATGGAACCCGACACCCATTGCCCGGCAGTCCCACTTGCGACCCCTTGGTCAACGAGCCAGTTTTCATATACAAAATGCAAATTGAGCAAAAATATCGTATGAGGTGTACAAATACATAATAAATGTAGATACGAGTTCTTATACAATGCTCGTACATCGCGATATTACATTGTATTCAGCCGGAGTATTCGAAATCACATTAGCATTCACATTTAGATGTTACGAGAAATGGAAAATTGTTCTCGAATTGTGTTAGAGATCTTTATATCTCAGTAATCCGTTATTTTCATAATGATACTGTACTGTTGGCGCGATGGCTGGGCAACTGGCTGCCGCGCAACGTGTCCCGGGTTCAATTCCCACATGGTACAACTCTGATCCACAGATTGTTTGTTGTTTCGGGTCTGGGTCTGATGTCTATGTGAACTTGTATGTTTGTTAATGCACCTACGACACAGGAGAAAATAGTGTGGGGCAACGTTTTGTTACAAGAAAAAAAAAGACAATATAATAATAATATGTAGGAACTAGATAGTAGATGTTTACTTCTCTCTGAGATAGTCGGGTGGTCACAAATGCGACAACCGAGGCAGGAGCTACCAGGTCGTGCAGTGGTTATAGGCGTGATGAAAAAATGCAGTCTTTTGCTGGAGCTAGAGTACCACTAGGGCACGAGCTATACAGAAACTGTTGCTCCCTATTACACGGTAACCACTACATAGTTATAAAAAAACAGTCGCTTACCGCCGTTTGTGTGTCAGTATGCTTAAATCTCTAAAATTACGCAACATATTTGATGCTTTTTAATATAAAAAGTGATTCAAGACTAAGGTTTAGGTATTATGTATAATCGAAATAGTGTGCGAAACCGCGGGCAAGAGCTAGTCATAACATAAATACTGAAAACTGAGTGTGCCGTTGTATTAATTGTACAGATATTTCAGTCCAGTCTTTTAAAAGCACATAGTAATATATTAAAATAATTCCTTTTCAAGTAATACAGTAGCTCACAATTTAAAACATGGACCTTTTAACATTTGTAACAAATAAGGTTATAATATTAAAAAGTTAACTATTGTTACAAAACCTTTCCATTTACAGAAGGTCCTTTCAGATGTATACCTTTTTTCTAGTATATTGCGGGTACATTGTTTCTACATTGTTACAGTTTTTGCTTACTGTAATTGTGTAGTAAAAGTTTTTCTTTCGATTGAAGTGTGTTTCATAGATTTTTTCATGTACTAGATTATTGACTGGGTTACACTAGCATCAAGTACTTATAATGGCTTCGTATTGTTTTATTATAATTAAACCTTTTTAATACTCCTTTATCCAATTTAACAATTTTAATAAATGCATGCAACATCACGCCTTTTATCCCTGAAGGGGTATGCAGAGGTGCACATTATGCCACTGTATAATGTAACACCCACTTTTCACTATTTATGATACGAGTCCCACGTTATAGTGGGTGAGCCTATTGCCATATACCGGGGACATTTCCATACTCCTTGCTACTACTGAGAATTTTTTAAAACCCAGTAATACTTTGCCCGCCCCGGGAATCCAACCCGAGACCCCTTGCCTGGCAGTCGCACTTGCGACCACTCGGCCAACGAGGCAGTTTGTTAAGTAAACTAGCAGAATAACTATTCAATAATTCTTGTCATATACCATAGATTTTATTTACTTGTAAACTTAAAATAGTTAAACATATAGAGGTACTTGTATAAAAGAGGTCTTTGCCCTGCAGTGGGACAATCATGGCTGAAAAAAAAAATATATATATATATATATGTATATATATACTTGTATGCGAGAGTTTCATTGAACACATAGCTCGGCTCAGTGCAATCGTTTACGGTTCAACAAAGTAGACTGAGCGCAAATACGCAAATACGGGCTTCATCAGAATATCGCAGGATCAATTAGACTAGACGCTGCGTGTGTACCCTCTCTCGACTCTTGAGTTCTCTGATGTAGATCTCGGGTTGAGTAAATTCCACAAGGAGTGGAACTGTAATAAAAGACGTTTATATCGTGCAAGGTCGACATGTAAAATAGATGGTTCAATCAAAGTGTGGGAGAGCCATGCTTCGGCACGAATGGGCCGGCTCGACCGGAGTCATACCACGGCCTCACAGAAAACCGACGTGAAGCACCGCTTGCGTTGTGTTTCGTCGTGTGAGTTAGGTTACCGGATGCCCAATTACCCTCCCCTTCCCCAATTTCCCCAATCCCGAAACTCCTAATCCCCAAAAGGCCGGTAACGCACTTGTAACGCCTCTGGTGTTTTGAGTGTCCATGGGCGGCGCCGATTGCTTACCATCAAGTGATCCGTCTGCTCATTTACCGGTATATGCTATAAAAAAAGCCTTTAGTTTCTACCCATTAACACGTGTAATTATAACTAAATCTCATAGCTTCAAGCTTTCAGTGGCCAAAGATATTAAGATCAGTGAAAGGCTAGAAATGGCAGTCGTGATCCAGTTGCTGTGCGCTGCTAGCTCTAGCCATGCGCCTTCCAGACGGCTTTCTCTTCCCCCGGACATTGTTGTGTCTAGGGTTGTCGAAATTGTGCAATAAAGAAATTTTTAAGCGTGTTTTTATTGCTCTCAAATGCATTATGGTGTTTTAATATTTATTAAATAATAAAAACATCTACAGTATCCAAAATTGACAGGCTTAGTGAGAAAAACCACAAGATTAGTTGTTCATTCGTAACCCGAAGACAACAGTGGCAATCTTTAATTCACTACATTATGTATAAAGTATTTTTAAAACGGACCTAAAGTATTCTTTATTATAATGCATTAGCTGAGCCCGCGACATCGTCCGCGTGGAATAGTGATTCATTTGTCTTCCCTCGTAGTTGATAGCATGATAATATATAGCCTATATGTTGACCGGACCTGTTAGTAATATTCATACAAAATTTGATGTACATCCATGCAGCAGTTTTTGACTTCATCCCGGACATAGAGGTACATACAGACAATAAATCTAAAAACTATATTTTTGGTTTTGGTATCGACTGTAGATCACGCCCATTCTTTTAAAAAATATTCGATGTATTCGAAGTACAGTTTTCACATTGCTACGATTTTAGTAGGTATATAAAGGTATAGAAGATAGATTTTACTTTAAAATACTTCACCGATTAAAATAATGTAAATAGATCACTGTGTACAGTGTCCTACATAAACACGATATTGAAATTACTTATGTAGGGTTGTTAAGTAGGACAAACAGAAATATTACTTAATTGTCTCATATTAATAGCCCACTCCATATTAACCGCGTTTAAATCTACAAAGAACTACTTGTAATAGAGACTTCATTTTAAGGTTAATTGAGACACCGTTACATTGTGCAAGTTTCAACCTTATTCGTTGAAGTTATAGTAGAGTTTAGATTAAAATTAAATCTTGAAGAAAGCTAACTTTCAGATTATGTGCTTATTATACAGAACTTGCAGTTTTTGTTGCATTAATTTCGCTACTCGGTTAGTTGATTGTCACGACTACACAGACAGTCTTTGGTTGGGTCTTCTAGTTGGACATTAAACTTTTGTCGTATAACAAACTTGCCGCACTTGTTCAACCACTGCAACTCATAACTCGGATCTTCATTGAAGACCAATTATAAAACACAAACGATAAAGCTACAAAAGAAAACAACGTTTGGTAATGATGACGAAATTCAGAAGAATCACTCTTCTTCTACTTGAATGTTACTGTGCCTAACTAACGCCCTAATACTGAAAGACTACACAATTTTAACTTGTACTTGAATATCGTGCCATCTC